GTACAAAAATCATAAGAACATTCCTAGTAAGAGCGATAAAGAACAAAACAATGAGAATATTTTGTTGAAAAAAAAAATCAGCAAACCGATTAAGAGAAACAGAGTAATAAAAAAAAACTTTGCTACTTTCCTATGGAGCCCTGTTGGAGCCCTGTTTTTCTATGGAGCCCTGTTTTTCTTTTTCAGTTTTTCAGTTTTGAAACTTTGGTTCTCGTTAATATGAAATTATACAAATTGATTATGAATTTCGCTACTAAAGGTGACGAATCACATACCACTAACCTTATCATTTGCAAAGATAACTTAATTGATAGAGAAGGTAAGACAATCCAATTGATAGAGAAGAAACAGAAACCAACACAATTACATAGATAATCTTATTGATACAGAACCGAGAGTGAGAAGGAAAGATGGAGGCGAAAGGAAGAGACGAAAGGAAGAGAAGGAAAGTTTTTGTTCTTAGGAAAAAAAAAATAGTCCTGATAAAACCCTAGGGTTAATTAATTTGGGCCCGTTTTTAGTCCTTTTATCAAAACACAGGGTTAGAGCTAGCCCTAGATAGTTCAGCCCATTTTAACATCTCTAGTTTTATGATAATTGCTAAATATAGACACCACGTGTCATTGAATCCAATAACATTTACCATTATGGTTTTATTAATACGATTTCTCTTGAATAAGGCTTCGTTAATGGGCCTTAACTCCATTAATAATTTACATTCTTGCTAAATATTTTGTAAAGCACATTGTGATTGATTCCATAGTTCCATAACATAAAGAGTTTTTTTTTTTTTAAACCAACAAAAAAAAAGCCTCAACTATTGTTGCCTTAAAATAAAAAGAGAACTCTTGCAGATAAGAGTTGCACAATAAAACCCCTTTTTCGCCAATTCAGAAAATTATACTATTCTCAGTATATGATGCATTTGAAATAGGCATATAGATATTCAGTTGAATTTATATTTTATAAAACTTTAAATACTAATCTCACTCCATACCCACCTAATTAAATACATTAAACCACATCATTCTTAGGCCAAATATCCACTATCACCTTTCTTTTCAAAAAATAATTATGTCATGTATCTGTGGGTATATTTTAGCACAAAATTCAATCCGTCCTAACTACTGTTTACAAAATAAAATATTGTAGTTGTGTGTGATTAGTCAGAGTGACATGTCTAGTGGCCAAGTTTATAAACCAATTGATTAATAACAGAACTTAATTTTTTTAAAGTCCAAGCTGTGGGATCCTAAACACAAACCTCTAAAAAGATGAGAAAAAGAGAGATTTTGAGCAACTTGGCCTACCAAATCGTCAACTTTAAGTCTTTAACACTTCACATTTCATTAGTAAACCATATAATTTGAGTGTTCATTGACATATAAGAATGTATGCTTAATATTATAATGCAAAGAGATGATTCTAAACCCCATATACCTAATATCTGACAGCTATATTATCACTACACCAAAGAACCAATTATAACAATTACAGTATTTTATATATCACAAATACAGCGTATATCAAGGTTGATATCTGACAAATTAAAAGTATTCAATATTCGATTCGTTTTCATCTTTGATCTGTTTTGCTATCTGAAAAACTGTAGTTGTCAATTTTAGTGATCGAGATTAGAGTATCTGAATATTCAAATCCTCAAATACTGGATAACTTGTGTATGAAAGTATTTAGAGGTATGAATATTTTGAACCGGCTATTATAAATATAGGAATGTTTCTGACCTTATTTTAATAACTCAAATATTAGACCATAGACTTTGAACAGAACAATAATTCGGATGATGTATCTTATGCCCTTGTAACATGATAAAGAAATATCAATATTCATTATCATTTTATCAAAAGATATTCGATATTGGACTTAAACCTCCAACTATGTACCCTGAGAATTGAACCGCGTATAATAGAACAATTTAACACCGTAGATTTATGGAACTTTTTATTGTAAATAGAATTTTAAAATGTTTTTAATGGTTTTTATTAAGATGAAATGGTTCGCATACTTTTCACACAAAAATGTTGAAAATATCATTTCCAATGTATTGGTCTACCCGGTTTAACCCGGTTTTAATGAAATCACCTCTTTGATAGAAAAAAAAAATGGTTGAAAATATCATAAGGCGTTTGCTATCATCTTTAAATTTCAATTCACCTTTGTTATGGTTACGTGAATCTCATTGAATTATTGTCAAACCATGCCACCATGGCACAAACACCATCACAATTGGCAAATCAAATTGTCATTGAATTTACAACGGATTTGATGAATTATTAAGACTATACTTTACATAATATCTAATTATTGACTAATGCATGTGGTCCAATATTATTTGTATAAATTTTTTAAAATATAATGGCTCATGGTACCTAATGAGATCCACTTTTGCATTTCCCATTCCCCACATACAAAATCTTCATCAACCTAATGAGATCCACTTTTGCATTTCTCTCACTTTCTTTTTTAATTACAAACTTTTATAATTCTAACACAGTTCATCTTCTTTCACTTTCATACTTTTTTCATCTAATT